CAGCAAAATTCACACATAGCACAGGAGTCACATACGACTCATTAGCGCACAACAACAGCACGTTCATCCGCACATTTCAGCACATTTCACAGCACCGTTTCATCATATGCAGCACTTCTACACTCACACAGCGACAGACACATACAATCCTGTACAGAAATGCACTGTATTGTGATATAATGGCTCTATATTTCAAATTATAATGGGTAAATATTATAGTATAGGTTGATTACGTTGTGTTTTTGTGTTTAATATTGAGTATTTATCCCCAGATTATGGATATAAACAGCAAATGTTGGTACACATACTTTTTATAACATGCAATAAGTGGACGTTTACACTTCTAATGCCCATAATAACTGTATTTACATTATTCGAACTAATAACTTGGGCATAATTAACATCACTCACTCCATGCTAACCCACAATAAGCCCAACCTGACTCTTACACTGAGTGCACCAACTCCTAAAGCCTTCACATTTGCATAAATAAACTTATTCCAACTTTTTAAAGCACATTTTTCCTTATAAAGCAATAGAAACCCTGTTGACTATTATAAATGAAGTCAGTTGCTTCATGTCAATGATTCAGTATCCACTATGAATCATTCAATATCTAATTTAAATGATTAATTATCTACTATGAATAATTCAGTATCTACTATGAATTATTCAATAACTAATATAAACTATTCAGTATCTACTATGGAATGATTCACTGATTATTATAAATGATTCACTGTCTACTTTATTATTCTTTTTAAGTGTTTTTGTATGTAATATTGTGTATTTATCCCCAGATTGTGGATATAAACAGCAAATGTTGATACACATACTTTTTATAACATGCATTAAGTGGATGTTTACACTTATAATACTTGGGAATAATTAACATCACTCACTCCATGCTAACCCAAAATAAACCCAACCTGACTCTTACACTGAGTGGACCAACTCCTAAAGCCTTCACATTTGCATAAATAAACTTATTCCAACTTTTTAAAGCACATTTTTCCTCATAAAACAATAGAAACCCTGTTGACTCTATTATAAATGAAGTCAGTTGCTTCATGTCCAGCTTATCTTCCATAATACTGGACGCTGCTATACAGACGCAGCAGGAGAGGTCAGGCTGACTGGTCCCGCAGGGCTCCTTTAAGAGTAAAGTGTCGGACAGGCCGAGTGGCCTGAGAGGGAGCAGGCGAATTAAGCACATAAATTCAGCTAGCCCCGCTTACCTACAATCCTATTAGAACAGCTAAATCTCCAGAAGGGCCGTCCAGTCCGAGAGAGCCACGGGGCAGCACAGTCCGGCTCACTAACCGGCCATAAGGACAGCAAAATCTCTATTGATTTCTCTGTTGGACACTCGGCAGCTTCGCTAACGAGCGAATCAAAAGAAAACACTGTATATAGTAAATGGATATAGTTATAGTTTCAGCTGTGTATAGTTGTGTTATAGTTATAGTTAATTATTGAGTATCTACTATAAATTATTCAGTGTCTACAATGAATTATTCAATATCCACTATAAATAATTCAGCGCCTACTATAAATGATTCAATATGTACTGTAAATTATTAAGTATTAACTATAAATGATTTAGTATCTACTATGAATTATTCAGCACCTATTATAAATGATTCAGTATCTACTATGAATTATTCAGCACCTATTATAAATGATTCAGTATCTACTATGAATTATTCAGCACCTATTATAAATGATTCAATATCTGTCATAAATTATTCTGTATCTACTATGAAATGATTCAATATGCACTGTAAATTATTCAGTATTAACTATAAATAATTCAGTATCTACTATGAATTATTCAGCACCTATTATAAATGATTCAATATCTGTCATAAATTATTCAGTATCTACTATGAAATATTCAATATCTAATTTAAATGATTCAGTATCTACTATGAATTATTCAATATCTAATTTAATTGATTCAGTATCTACTATGAATTATTTAATATCTAATTTAAATGATTCAGCATCTACTATGAATTATTCAATATCTAATTTAAATGATTCAGCATCTACTATGAATTATTCAGCACCTATTATAAATGATTCAATATCTGTCATGAATTATTCAGTATCTACTATGAATTGTTCAGTATCTACTCAAAATGATTCAGTGTCTACTTTAAATGATTCAGTATCTATTATGAATTATTCACTATTTACTATAAATGATTCAATATCTACTTTAAATGACTTAGTATCTACTATGAATTGTTCAGTATCTACTCTAAATGATTCAGTATCTACTATGAACTATTCACTATTTACTAGAAATGATTCATTACAGAGTTTCTCAACCTGATCTGTTGACACGAAACTCATTTATAACAGAAGTCAGTGAGCAGCTGCCTCATCATCTGCCCATTGATTTCTACTGTAAGTTTGGTTTGAGTCTACAGGGGGAGGAGCTGAGCGTGTTGTCTGTGTGGTCGACTGATGCCACAGATGCAGGATGTAGATTTAAGGTTGAATAATTCTGTAGTTGTCTATAAAGTGTTAATAACAGGCCTTTTATAACAGGGTTTTTTGCCTGGTGTTTATAATTATGACAGTGCGCACAAGAGTTATCTGAGAAAGCCAGTGGAGTTGGGAAACACACTGTAATGCACTGCACACTTTCCTTCTAACAGACCTCAAACACACAGCCTGCCTCTCATAACGCAGCGACTCGTTCATATCCATGTTTGTCCGTTTTAGTCGTTACAGCGGCCTGAACACATGCTGACTCTGAAGAGCCGGTCAAGAGTGAACTCAGACCTTACTGAACGAGTTCACTCAACAGGTGACAGAGAGAGAAAGAGAGAGGGAGGGAGGGGGGGGAGAGAGAAAAAAGAGAAAAGACATACAGAGTGAAAGAGAGAGAGAGAAAGAAAGAGAGAGAGGGCAAAAGAAAGAGAGAGAGGGAGAAGAGATAGAGAGAGAGAGAGAAAGAGAGAGGGAGAGAGAATGAGAAGAGGTAGACAAAGAGAGAGAGAAGAACACAACAAAAAAGAGAGAGGAAATAAGGAAAAAAGAAGAGAAAAAAGAGAAATAGAAAAGAAAGAGAAGAAGGGAGAAAAAAGAGGAAAGAAAGATAAACAAAATGTGAGAGAAAAAAGAGTGGGGAGAAAGAAAGCACAAGATTGAGAAAAGTGAGAAAGACAAAGAAAAAGAAAGTAAGAGAGAGAGGGAAGAGAAAGGGAAAAAGATGGAGGGAGAGGGAGAGAGAGAGAGGACAGAGCAAAAGAAATGACAAAAGAGAAACAAAAGAGAAAGTGCGAAGGAAAATAAGAAAACAAGTGAGAAAGACAGAAAGAAAGAGAAAGTGAGAGAAAGAGAAGAGAGAAGAAAAAGATACAGAGAGAGAGGAGGTGGGGAGAGAGAAAGAAGTGGTAAAGAGATAGAGAGAAAAAGAGAGAGAAGAGAGGGAGAGAGAAAAAGGAGGTAGAGAGAGAGAGAGAGAGAGAGAGAGAGAGAGACAAAGAGAGAGAGAGAGAGAGAGAGAGAAGAAGAAGAACCAGAAGAAGAAGACAAAAGAGAGACAAAAGAAAAAGTGCGAGGGAAAATAAAAAAGAAGAGAGAGAAAGAGAAAAGAAAGAGAGAAAAAAGGAGAGACAAGAAAGAAGAGACAGAGAAAGAGAGAGAGGAAAGAAAGACAGAAAGAAACTGTTCGCATGAGAAGAGTGAAAAGAGAGAGAGAAAGAGCAAGAGAGGGAGAAAAGTGAGAAAGACAGAGAGAAAGTGTGTGTATATGTGTGTGTGTGAGAGAGAGAGAGAGAAAGAGAGAGAGAGAGAAGAGAGAGAGAGAGAGAGAGAGAGTAAAACACTAATGAAGTAATATCTGTACAGTAGTTCTCATTCTTCCAGCTTTGTTGACACCGTATGTCCAGAGCCGATTAGGACAATGTTATTAATGTCGTTTAGGTATTAAAGCACTAATAACGAATAAATAATACATGATAAACAATAAATAAGTCATAAATGATAAATAATACATGATAATAAAGGTGGCTGTGGCCAGAGATGTTTTCCTGAAGTGGCAGAAATGAGCTTCAAAGGCCTAAACTAGCTCTAAAGTCCTGAATTTGATCAGCCTAAAGGGGAACTCCACCATTTATTTAAATTTCGGCATAAACAACTGGTTAAGATGTAAACAGAGTGGTTCAGAGTGGTTCAGAGTGGTTTGGTGTGAAACGCTCCGTTCTAGAGAAACTTACCGAGTCAGAACTGTTCACAGTGGTGGTGATAGGAACCAGACGTCCACCTCTAAAAGCTCCCTCACAGAAAGTTACTACATGAAATGGTTATGAATTCACTGCCTGATGACTGAGACACTGTTTTATGATCGTTTAGAGAACTTAAACTCCATTCATGGTGGAGGGATACATGCAGGGCGCTGTGAGGCAAAATAGTCCCCAAAGAAAACTTATTATTTCAGATTTTCCACTATTTTCCATCATCGACATTCCATATAAACTCAGAAGACTCGTGTAGGTTCACTGGTGGTTCTGGATAGTAAATAAAATGTCTATATCTGTGTTGTAGTTATGGCGACCCCTGGTTCCTATGACCACCACTGTAAAGACGTCTGAACCATTTCACACCAAACCACTCTGAATCACTCTATGCAGGAAATTTTGGAAGGTCAGTGGAGTTCCCCTTTAAGTTTAGGTGAATGGGTGGGGGAACCAGCACAGAAAATTTAATCAGTTGTTGGTTCAGCTCCCCATATTTGGGCTAAATTGATTAGGGTCCATATGTCGTTATGATGCTGAGGCGTGCGCGCGCGTGCGTGTGTGTGTGTGTGTGTGTGTGTGTGTGTATGTGTGTGTGTGTGTGTATGTGTGTGTGTGTGTGTATACTGACCCAGGGCAGTAGAGGAGGAGTTTGTGCTCCCCTTTTGCTCCTCTCCTCTCCCCCACCCCTCTCCTCCTCACTTTTTCAGCCTCTCTCTTTTCTCTCTCTCTCTCTCTCTCTCTCTCTCTCCGCACACACACGCACACACATACACACACATAGACTCACACTCATACACACTCCCGCGTGGCTCGGTACGGGACGAATGGAGTCTGAGGGCAGCCAGAGCACCGTGTCCAGCGCGGATTCACCCCACGACCCCTGGTACAGCCGCACTTCTTTTCTGTTCCTCCCTTCTCCTGTCTTCCAACTTTGAGCTCCAGCGCCGGACGCGCGGAGACGATTCGACGCGCAGCCGGACAAAGCGCCTCCTCGGGCGGCTAGAGCGGCGAGGTAGAGCCGCTAGCTCGCGGAGCCTGGATGGAGCCCGTGCTGGGGGATAAAAGCAGCGCCTTTCTTTCGTTTCTCCTCTCTTTTTTTCGCTTCTTCTCAGACCTCACCTAGTTGCACTTGTTGATTGCCTGCTTTTGTGTTTCTTTCTTTCTTTCCCTCTCTCCCTCTCTATCTATCTGCAGCAAAATGTTCATAGGAGGCCTTAGCTGGCAGACTACACAAGGTGAGTGAATGAAAACTTTTCAAGCCACCATCATTGAAAACAGTTCAGACTTTCTTCCCAGCTACAGTGCTTTTGGTCAAACTTCAGTGCCACACAGATTTCACACTAACAGTAAGGTGTGTTGTGTTGGGAAAATGTGAGCAAATCACTCCCAGTGTTTGTGAATGAGGGAGATATTTGATTGCTAAAGTAAAAGGGTTTTTTTTGGGGAGGGGGGTTACAATGTGACTGTGTTCTTACAGCAGCCTGTAGACCCTCCAAAAAAGGTGTGTGGGTGTGGGTGTGCGTAACACAGGGGTGTTTCATGGCTGTTTTGGTGCTGCTGGCCAGCCTCCACTATGTAGGACACATACATGGTTTGAATTAGTCTGGCTCTTTGTTAAAGGAAAAGCACTCACAGCCCTGCTGTCATCCGGACCTCCCCGAGCCACTGGGAGCATGTTTAAGGTGATTTATTGCTGCGGATGATTTTGTCTAACATGAGCAGCAGCACACTGTGATGATATCCGATATTAGCATGTTGAATATAATAGCCATGAGGCTTGTCTGGGTAGCATGCTAATTTAGTTAGGAGGTGAAAAGTGGACCTGGCCTGCTTTAACTACCAGCTGAAGCGCCTGTGTCCTGTTTTATGGTGTCCGAAATGCTCTGTTTACATCTGTTATTGTTAATGTTGTGTCATTGATTTCATGCACATAACCCATTGCATCAAGTGCACACGCCTGCCTTTCGTACGCTTTCAGACCTGAAAGTTAATCGCTCACACTCTTAAGGACCTTCCTCACTTCTAAAACTGCACTTCTTATACATATGAGTTTCATACTGGATAATGAACAGTACATCTTTAGATTATTCAGCATAATAACTGAATAATAAGTACCCATCTTAGGGCCTATTATTCTGCAACTTCATCGAAAACAATGCAAAATGACTGAGTTCATTTTAGAGTAAACTCTGCTGTTCAATACGAAAGGGAGGGGTTAAATGGTCAATTTAAAGCTGCTGTAAAGTAAATGCCACCTGAGTAGTTTAAGGGGTTAAATGTTAAACGTAAGGTTGTTTTAGAGTAAATCTTGCTGTAAATCTAGAGTTTAAGCAATGTAATGTGATACAAAAAGACGGTGTAGCATAAACTCTACTGCAAATTCACAGTCTCAGGGGTTAAACAATCTTTTTGAGGCTGGTTTAGAGTAACGTCTGTTGTAAATGTGGAGTCTAAGGGGTTATATGGTCATTTTAAGGCTGGTTTAGTCCAAACTCTGCTCTAACTATGCAGTTTAAGGGGTTATATGGTCATTTTAAGGCTGGCTTAGGCCGAACTCTGCTCTAAATGTGCAGTTTTAGGGGTTAAATAATCATTTTAATGCCGATTTAGAGTAAACTCTGCTGCACATGTAAAGTTTAAGGGGTTAAATGGTCATTTTAAGGCTGGTTTACAGTAAATTCTCATATAAATGTGCAGTTTAAGGGTCTAAATGTTGGATGCAAGGCTGGTTTAGAGTCAACTTTGCTGTAAATGTAGAGTTCACATAGTATAATGTTAAATACAAGGCAGATGTGGAGTAAACTGGACAGTTTAAAGAGTTTACAGTTAAATTTAAGGCTAATGCAAAATAAATGGTGCCGTAAATTTAGTTTTTAAAGGTTTAAATGTTAAATGGACGGCTTCCTTAGAGTAACTCTGCTGTAAATGTACAGCTTAGAGGTTGACTGTTAAATTGAGGGCTGTTTTGAGTAAAGTCCTCTGTTCATTTACAGTTTAAGGGCTAAATGTGAAATTTAAGGCTGTCAACTTCACTGTTTCTGTAGAGTTTAGAAGTTCAGTATTTCATTTAAGAATGTTTCAGAGTAAACTAATGTAGAGCTTAGGGGCTAAATGTGAATTTTAAGGCTGCTTTAGAGTAAACCCTGCACTACATTATCAGTTTAAGGTGTTAAATGGTCAATTTAAGGCTGCTGTAGTATAAACACTGCAGTATATGTACAGTTTAAGGGGTTAAATGACCATTTTAAGGCTGCTCTTGTATAAACACTGCAGTGAATGTACAGATTAAGGGGTTAGATGACCATTTTAAGGCTGCTGTAGTATAAACACTGCAGTAAATGTACAGTTTAAGGTTAGATGACCATTTTCACGCATGTTAAGTGGTTTAACGTTAAATAAAAAGCTGCTGTACGTGTTGTTTTGTGTCTGCGCTGTGTTTCATTCTGGCAGAGGGTCTGAAAGACTACTTCTGTAAGTTCGGCGAGGTGAAGGAGAGCATGGTGATGCGGGATCCGGTTACGAAACGCTCCAGGTGAGGGGAAACGGCCTTTTATAAGTGGTCACTCACTCACTGACTTCCACCTCTTTCTCTTCTACCTCATAGTCAACTCTGTGAAGGTGGAAATGTGGGGTTTGTGTTTTTTTATTGTTGTTGTTGTTGTTTTTTTGTTCAGGGGCTTCGGCTTCGTCACTTTCGCGGACCAGGCCGGGGTGGACAAAGTGCTGGCCCAGACCAGGCACGAGCTGGACTCCAAAACAGTGAGTTCTAATCTTCTGTGAGCTAGCATTCCCGCGCCTGTGCCCTTATTCTGTCCTTCCCGGACGCCATTGTGAGGGCTTTAGCCCTGAGCCGAGCACCTACGGCCCGCGCGAGTCAGTGAGAGAGAGCGGTTTGGAGAGTTGCGTTAACTGAGAAGCTCATTCACAATAAGACTATTCTCTCTCTCTCCACTCCTTTGAGCCAGATAATAAGGGCAGATTCCCGGAGAACGTGATATTCCACAATGAAACGGTGGTCAGCGTGCGTGTGTGTGTGTGTGTGTGTGTGTGTGTGTGGAAGAAGCTTTCAAAAGCCTGTTCGGGGGTTTGTGCTGCTTGAGTCAAAATCAATTAGGAACAGATTTGGAACAGGAGAGAGAGAGAGAGAGAGAGACTCCCTCTGTGAGGTTGTCAGGGAAGTTTCTATTCTGTGACGATTGCTATGGTAACCTGGGGAGCGGGACGGGGCATGTGGGGTAGTTTTTGGGGTTTGGTTGGGGTAGGCTTAGCTAGCGTCCACCAAAACTCAGTCAACTCTGCTCAGCTGTGTTTGTACTTGGACGTATAATATTAATGTGTATATTAAAGGGCCCATACCCTACATTTGTGTGACATTCTGTCCTACATTTTTGTTTATGTTTAATGGTCCAATTGTGACATATATGCGCTTTTATGTCCTACAAAAGTCATTATTCAGTTTACAGAACCGTTTTCCAGCCTATCTATGTCTCTTTATTCTATTTTCTTTAACTCAACAGGCTGTTTTCTGCGTCTGTGCCTTTTACGACTGATATATGTAAATGAGCTGTGCTCTGATTGACTGCCTTGTGTTGGAAAAAACTCTTAAAACATTTCGCACAACTTCAGGGAGAATGGGCGGGGCTAAACTGCTGTAGGCTGAAATAGACGGATATGGTTTTTGTGACCTCACAGAAATTTTGAATTGTGAGTTCACAGCGGGTTAGTTTACATATGTGGCCTGGAGAGTGAATGTTATGTTTTTAAAACTTTAACAATGTTTACGTACTACACCAAACTCTGTCATCTGAATAAAGTGAGGAAAATTCAGTTTTCCATGATTTGGGCCCTTTAAAATATTCCTATATTCTGCCCGCAGTTTACTACTGACTCACTTCTGATTTTCCACTTTAAAAAGTATTTAAGCGTTTTCATTCACAGCAGTACAAAAAGTGCTTTAAACAGTGTAGATAAAGGCTTTCTGTATTATTGAGATGCGTGAAAACAGTTAGAAAGCTTTTCTTTCTGCTGTATTTATACGACAACAAAGTTAAATTGAACTGAATCAGGGTAAAACATAACAATAAAAATAGAGACAGCCTAATAGGTAGACAGGTAGCTACATGTACAGACAGATAGATACATGGTTTGATTGATAGATTGTCCAGATTAGGCATAAGGCAAAAAATTGTGCTTGGTTTTCTTTCAAAAGTATCATTTTGAACACTTAGTTTAAGTGCTTTTAACATCAGAACAGCAGAAGAAAAACAGTTTGAAAGCTTGTCTTTTAGCCGTAATGCTATTATTATTACACTGTTAAGACAATAAAGTTAAAATTAATTGAAATTATTTGAAATTGAATTGACCCAGTGCAAAAACATGAGATAGATAGATAGTTAGATAGTTAGATAGATAGGTAGATAGATATATAGATAGTTAGATAGATAGATAGATAGATAGATAGATAGATAGATAGATAAATAGATTTGGGGTAATTATATTAATTTAGCGTAAAGTTAATTATGATTTCTGGTCAAATTATCGCTTTGAGTGGTCAGTTTAAGTGCTTATAACACAAGAACAACAAAAAGAAATGTTTTGAAACTGCTTTCAATGTTAAAGCAAAGCTAAAGTGCAGAAATCAGTGTAGATAAACATGTTTTGTGTGTTTGAGGCCACTAAAAACAGTCTGAAAGCTTTTCTTTATGCTGTTATTATGCTATTATGAAAATAAAGGTGAATTGAATCAGTACAAAAACATAAATATAGAGAGGTAGACAGATAGATAGATTTGGGGTAATTAATTTGGGGTAAAGTAAATTATGATTTCTGGTCAGATTAACACTTTGAGTGGTCAGTTCAAATGCTTATAACTCCGCAACAGCATAAAAAAATGTGTTTTGAAACTGTTTTGACTGTTAAAGCAAAGCTAAAGTGCTGAAATCAGTGTAGATAAACATGTTTTGTGTGTTTGAGAGCAGAAACAGTCTGAAGGCTTTGAGTTATGCTGCTCTGGTATAGTGACAGTAAAATTACACTGGATTAAATTATACCAGTGCACAAACATAAGGAAGCGTAGAAGGCAGTGACATCGAACAGGAGCGGCTGTATTTAGCGGTGTGTGTGAATAAATCACAGTCCGTTGTTTTAGATTTGTGGTCAGCACGTTTGAAGCGTCGGGACAGTGATGGTCTCTGTTTTCAGAGCCGTGATTTTTCTGTTAAAGTTTTACACTCGCGCAGGGACGTTTGCATGAGTGTGAGTGTGTGTGCGTGCGCCCGCCTCGGCCTTTGTCAGAGCTCGGAGCAGGCGGGTCCCGGGACAATGCCGCCCGTTGGTTGCCGTGGCGACCGCAGAGTCGCTCCCTCTAGGGGGTCGGAGGGAGGGAGTGGTGAAGAACGGCAGGAGAGAGAGAGAGAGAAAAAGAGAGAGGAGGGAAAAAAAAACTTTCTCATCTCTTCTGTCTCTCTCTCTCTCTCTCTCTCTCTCGCTCCCTCCCCCCCTCCCTCGCTCAGGACTCAAACATCTGAACCGGCCTTTATGGCGCTGTGGTCGAGCGCTCGCTCTGGAAGGTGAGCAGCCTAACAAACATGGCGAGAAACATTCAGGTGCGATTTTTCCACACATGCGCACTGCAGGTCAAAAGTTTGGAAGCAACACTGACTTTGCTGGAATAAAGGTGACAGTCGCATAGATTTGTTGTTAAACGTGTGCAGCAGTGAGTGATTGTTAATGAGTGGAGCTCCTGCAGTAGTTTTATCAGCAGCTTTAATCAGATCCATCTGACCCCCTCCATTCAGAAGCTCCATTAAAATACAGCACCGATCCACTGTAGGCCGCACATTACAGTGATTTTCCCACAGGTAAGGGCTGATGTGGTGTGAATCACTGCCTACAGTGGCTTACTGGTTTCATAAATTATATATTTTAGTTTATTAAATAGCCATATTCATTTCTACAGATCACTTTTTTCCATTTCTGATGCCAGTATTAAAACCACTCAGCTTTAAAAGGCTCATTTTCTACAAATTTGTGTACGTTTATTCACCAGAAAGGTTTTCAACAGACCTGAAACTGAAAAAATTATCATTTTTCTCATCATTTCTTCAAGTTGCAAACATAATGATGCACATTTTTGTCAGTGTTAACTTGAGCTTTAACCAGCTTATAGAGCCCAAATCTTACATTCCTACTGCGTTTTATTTTTTCACTGATGACATTTGTGTTCTGTTTACAAAAACAGTAATAATTCATTTTTACCTGATAATTTTACAACCTTTTTTAATCACTTAAATTTTATGTTGCTGTTGCCTTTAAGACCGGTATATGTAAATGAGCTCTGTTCTGATTGGCTGACCTGTACTGTGGCAGTCTAGGCTGAAACACTCTTCAGTGAGAGTGGGCGGGGCTGAACTGCTGTAGGCATTGACCAATATGTATATAAATGCATTGGTTTTTGTGACATCACAAAAACAGTTCATTTAAAGAGGGCGGGCTTATTTTCAGTATATGGGCCGTACAGACTTTCGAAACTTAAACACTGTTTATGTAATGCATCAAACAAGTATTCATCACTAGAACCACAAATTCAACAAGAATTTACCAGCTTAGTTTCTATATATGGACTGTATGGACTGAGTACATTAGAAACTTGTTTGTTTACATACAATGTTTAACTTATTTTTTAAAAAGTGAGTAAAATTCAGTGTCACCCTTTTTTAAAGATTTTAAGCCAACCGCTTTGTTTGCTTTTTAACAACAAATCAAGTTTAAAGTGTACTTAACAACTACAAAGATACATTTTTGGGGCCTTTTTTTGTTTTCCGTGATACAGGCCCTTTAAAATTATTTTTTTTTTATTTTAAAATTATTAAAACTAGTGCATTTGAACACAAAACATCATCATGGTAGAAATAACAAAAATATGTAAAATATATCCTAAACCTAAACTAAACCTAAAACGTCTATAGTATAAAATTAAACTAGAAAACAATACTAATAAAACACATGCTTGTATATTTATACTGTGTATTCATAAACATTCATCGGGCAACAAATAGAGTTTATTAAAAGTAGGCTATGGTTGCCAGGCAACAAAACAAAGTTTATTCTATTCAAACGTAGCTCAGCCAATCAGATTTTAGGATCTGTTTAATAAGGAGTGGCTTTAGTGTAGATCATTCTGGATCTGCTTTAGATGGTAATAAACATGTTGTTTTGGTTTGGTAGCTGAGTGACTGTAAACTCATGAATGAATATAGAATATTAAACAAATCACTGTTGCTGCTCTGCTCTTTGGCCTGTAGTGCGGATTGTGCCAGTGTGGATTTCGGCTCGCTGGGTGTTCTGACCCGAATGAACTGTTCTCCAAGATCGCATTCCTGAAAACACAAAGATAATCTTACATCCCCTGCTTAGCACTCGCTGTACGAACGAACGGAGGAGAGGAAAGGAAAGAGAAGAGACTCCCACGGTTTACCAACATCACAATCACATACACCCTAAAGCTGGGCGATACGGAAAAAATATAGCATCATGATACTATATGTGATACTATATACGGATACAGTGATATATGTTTAATTAGACGTACCAAAATAAACAGTTTAGGAAGAAACAGTTCAAAATTAATGAATAAATTAAATGAAGTCATCTGCCGTCCAGTCAGCTGCTTTGTTACTATGCACTTTATAATCTGTTTACCGGCTCTCTATAATTTGGTTTTATAATCCATGCGGTTGTTTAGTGTTATAGAAGTGCTG